AACACTAATTTATTTTGCAAAAGGTGCAGCGGGATTCAAACACGTTCCCTCCACTGGTTTCAACCAAGCACTAAATTAGACGTTTTCCAACCAAATACGGTGGAACTTACACTTCCCCATATTTATTTGTAAGTAGATTCGAAGATAGGCTACATGAGCTGAAGTTTGGTTGCTAGGTTACTAGCTGGGTGTTCTCCAATAAGGGGCCGGGGGGAACAAAGTTAGTGATTACTGGAGTGGTTCCATGTTGATTTAATTCAATACAAATTGTTGGGGGGAACTGAAAGGCTATTACCGTACTGGTTACTTTGCAGCCCGGACATTTCCCCCAAAACACATTTAGATGCTATCGCAACATAGAAGTAGCCTACCTTTAAAATCCGATAATTTTTAAGACCTTCTGAATCATATTTAATACCTTTTTAAGGCCTTAAATTCTGATTATCAAATGTAAGACTTTTTAAGACTTGTTAAGACCCCGCGGGAACTCTGATTGTAACTTTTTTAATTCTTTGAACTTCTCCCACCACTGACAATAAATCCTGAGTGGTTACCAAAAAAAAACCCTGCTCTGAAGGTTATTTTCATTTTACAAATCCTGCACTCAGCTTTGCTTTCTCCAATATCATTGAAAAGCAGCCAGATGCTGCTTCTTTTTTCGGTTTTCGCTCATTTCTTGACTTTTTCCGACGCATATGCATTTAAATCCGGCTCCCCGTCTCCCCGTCACTCTGTGCAGCTGGCCTGTACCACTACACATGCTGTGCCCCCCACCCTTCTTTCACATAATGGTATGATCCTAGTGTGTCCTCGCATATGATTGGCCGCATGGTGGTCCAGCTAAATAAAGACCCGCCCCTGCCTGCAAGGATTCTCAGCAAGAGTAGGAGCGGCTGAAGATTCTGCTTTCCCCGACGGGAGTCTGCTCTTCTAACGGCAGCTCGCGATCGGCGTGTTGGAGACCTCTGAATTAAAGTATCAAGTCACCTCAAGTCAGAAGGCTCAAGTCCAGGTCAAGTCCCGAGTCATTGGTGTTCAAGTCCAAGTCGAGTCGCAAGTCTTTTGTGATGTTGTCAAGTCGAGTCTCAAGTCATAAAATGTGTGACGCGAGTCTGACTCGAGTCCAAGTCATGTGACTCGAGTCCACACCTCTGTAAAGTTGCAGACAGATTTAGGCGTTCAAAAATAACGCCACTTCAGCACCATGGAATGAACAGCAGCGCTAAACATCAGACAAGCAGAACCAGCATGCAGCTGACTCATATTCATGTATACACCTGAGTAATTTAAAACCTTTAATTACATTACAGAAAAAAGCTGTGAGAATGTTGCATAATGTACTACCTAGAGAACAAACAAACAATGCATTGAGTCAAGGCTGTTAACATTTAAATATGTAATAGAATATCAAACGGCTTTAGTTATGCAGCAAAAAACAGAATACTGCCAGAAAATATACAAAACAAATTAGTTTTAATTTCAGAGGATGAGCATGAGGAGGAAATTACATGTTAAGCATCAGTTTGCACGTACTACTTTAAAGCATATGTGTGTCTCTTGGCGTAAAGAAGTGGAATCAAACAAATAAACAAACAACAAATATATTGGTAATTATACAGTGAAAAAAACACACTGAAAACTACCCAATATTTTGTTCACTTTAAAGCTTGAAAACAACAGCTATAGCCTACATCGTGATATGATTGTTTGCTACTTTCATGATGTACTCAGAGTGGGCCTAATAAAGCTGTAGCCGACGTTTCCCAGATGAATGGAACCTCCTCAGCAACATGTCTTTCCACTCAATCTTGCATTTTATTGTCAGGTCCCTTCGGTGCTCACTGAAAACGTTTTTCAATGTGGAAAAAGAGTTTTCACATAAAGCTGTCGAAGCTCCAAAGGTAAGTGAGACCTTAAATGCGGTGAGAACACTTGGCATTGCCTCAAGCGTCATGTGGAGATGACCAAGTAAGGTTTTCAATGTCCATTTCCCATCCTCTGGTGGTGTGAAGCTGTCCATGTGTTTTAGAATCAGCTTTTTGGCCACAATGAACTCAGCATCAACGAGCGTGGTTCCAGTCAGTTTAAACAACGGTTCCACTATTTTAGGCTCCAGGAAGAAGCTGCTTTCCGGGTTGAGTGAAGCAATAGCCTCCATTAATGCGCTGTTTCGCTCTCCAAAGTGGCGCGCAATTTCTCCCGTAACTGCATCAATGCAGCTGTTAAACAGCCGCCGTTGCTCTGTCATCTGGTGGTATTCTTGTGTTCCCACTCCCACTGTCTCTTCAACAACATATCCTCCAAAGTTGTGTTAAGAGTTTGCCTTCTCTTGGTGGGACCGGGATGGATAGTATCATCCTCTCTCTCCTGTGCGCACTCACTCCACATCTCCGTGAACACCTTTTCGGTGCGCAGGGCCTGAACACACTCTTTGGCAGTGTTGACAAGCTGGACTGCCGGAAAGGTCCATTTCCCCTGACTGGAGCATCCTGTTAGCTGGCTCAAGCAGGGACAATATCTTGCATATCATCTGGGTGCGGAATTTAAAGCTTTCAAATTCTGCTCAGCAAGCCTGCTGCCTCCATCCTTAAGTCAGCTGGAAATTATGCAGAGTTTTCAGCGTGTCGTAGTAGTTCCACTATATCCTGAAAAGATTAGGGCTAGGTGCCCTGTCCAGCGCTGTTCGAGTAAACGCTTCAGCGTGTTTCCCTGATAATGTGCAGCAATGGTGGGCTTTTGTGTGAACTTGTAGAGGACATTACAGATGTTAAATAAATCCTCAATGGCTCTCTCACCGGACATGGCGTGAACAACGACCAAGTGCAGCTGGTGGTTGAAGCAGTGCACATATGGGATTTATCTGCCCAGTTCATCTTGAAGGAGTCTTTGAACCCCATATAAGACTTGCCCCATCGTATACCTGGCTGAGAATATTATCTGTGCTCAGGCCAACTTTGCGTATTTCATCAATGAGTGTCTGTGTGAGGGTTTTTGCATCACCTGCAACTGCTGTGGCGATTGTCAAGAGCCTTTCTATTATGACATAGTTCTCATCAACAAAACACAGTACCATTGAAATGTTTTCACAGCCTGTTGGGTCTCGGGTTCCAGCCATTTTGACAGTGTAAAAGGAGTCGCCTATTTCCTCAACAATATGCTCCGTTACAAGTTTGCTTATCAGGTCAATTATGTCGTTTTCGATGGTATACTCAAACAATGACAAAAATAACCCACTGCCAGACTAGGACATACACTCTAAAGAGTCGTGGTCACCTCGGAAAGGAAGATTGCTGGTAGAGAGAAAAGTCACAATGTCAATAATGGAGCCCATGTAATATCTGTTACGAGCCAGCTGATCTTTGTTGACAAGAGTTGTGATTTCCTGACCAGTCTCGATGCGCATTTGTTTTTCTCTCCACAATTTCTCACACACTAAATGTTCCTTGGAAGAGCTGTGTTTGCTAAGACCTGTGTCCTTTTGTAAGGCATGCTTCCAGTCTTTGAAGCCTTTTACGGTGAACAATGCGTCATGATGATGAGCCTTAAACTTTCTGCATGGGAAACAGTACGCAGCATCGCCTTTCACAGAGTATTCAAGCCAGGGTCGGTTTTGGTACCATGAGATGGAAAAACGACGTTTTTTCCCGGAGAACAGCCGAGATGGAAAACTATCCAGGACTACCTGTTTTGGTGTATCCACGCCAAGGTCCTCTAGAACTATAAAACTAAAATCTCCAAGATCAAGAGCGTTTAGAATGGGAGCTGGGCCTGGACTGCTAAAGGATGAACTGCTGCTGCCCGGCTCCGAAGAGGCTGCGTCTGAATCGGATCCTGGTGGAGGAAAAGGTAGAAGAGATGGCGGGGGACACGTCAAGTTGCCAGCATCTGGTGCTGAGTTGCCAGTGCCACAATCCTTTTGTGAGCTCTTTTTGTTCGTGAACCACTTCCTGATATCCATTGTTGCAATACATATAAAAAAGGATAATAGCCATTGGCCAAACTAACCTAGCCAGAGTAAACTGACAGGCTGCTGTGACGCATCTCACTTAAAAAAAACACACACACGACTCAACCCCGCGAAAAACCAGTTTCGCGCACAGAGATTAATTCAGAATTTAATAGCAAAATTTAAAAAATGATATTATACGAATGTTTCAACATAGTTTAATAGAAAAATAAATGGTATGACAAATTAAAAAAAATATTTGTATATAATAAAAAAAATTAATCAGCCCTGATTTCTCATTGGGCCCGCCCATGACGCCGGGTCTGCCTGGAACACATCCTTCTCGGGGTGTAGATGACCCCGGGCCATAAGCGACAACAAATGTGATTCAGTTTCCTCAGCTGTTTAGTCTATCTATTGAAGAATGTTCATTATTACACTCTGAACTAGTTAAAACCTGGAACTACAGGAGGGGTCTTCAGAATTGATTGTGGCATCTCAACCGTGTGGTCAAACCGTGGCCCGTGACATGTCCTGTGAATTCTCCGGCCGAAGCTCCAAATAAACCCTCAGTGTTTGCCATCAAAGCTCCAGCTCTCCTCGTGTCTCTCTGAGTGTTTACTCCAATTGCTTCAGAAGTTTCCCCCACAATCGCTGATAATTCACTCATCTGTATTGCTCATATCCAAATATTTGCATTCAGTGAGTTGCTTGCTAAAATAGGTTTCACCTCTCTGACCTACTTAAGTTGTTGTAAGCTGAATGACGCCGGTTGGAAGAGTTCTGAGTAAGACAGGAGGCTCTGCTGCTGCTGACAGGATTTACGCTGCAGGTTGTTGTTCATCATTACTACGAACTGCTTTTCTTGCTTCCTAAATTGCTAATTATGCTGTTTGTGAAAAATGTTGTATTAACACCTCAAGGACACACATTGTATTTGTTGTGTGGCATCACTGTGACATAGCAGGAAGGAAAACTAGTCTAGCTCTGTTTCCAGCTCCAGGGTGGTGATGGGTCAATGCTGAAGTGATGGGCTCATTATTTTTGACAGTACCTTGAATGGTATGACAACTGCAGAGCCGCCACTGATGCCAACGATTGGCAGAGCTGTCTGAGTGGAGAGGAAGTCCAGGATCTGTGCCACTTCTGCCACCTGGAGATGAAACAGACAGATTTAGTATTTGCCTAAAGAATGATGTTGTTTTTCCTGCACTAGTGATACAGCACAAATTCAATCAGTTTGAACAGTTAGATTGAATTCAGAAACTTAAATGTTTGCCAAAGTGAAAAAACCAGTCAAACCAATGGTTTTCCAATGCGACCATTCATGCCAAAGGTGAGACACTGTTAAACTAATCTGCATTAAAGCTATACAATTTGAGTAAACTTAAAGGTGGGGTAGGTTATTTTGGAGAAACCAGCTCGAGTGCGCTAGAATTTGAAAATACACAACTGGAAAAATATGCCACTTCCTTACAGAGCCCCTCCCCCAACACACACGAATGCGCACATGACCAATGAGGGCACGAGATAAGTTTGTGCACAGATGGAAGGCTGACAGGCAGGTAGGTCATCCACTTATTTTAGCCGGGCCGGCTAAAATGATTGGTCGTGCTTTGTACAGCGCTACGGCTTCCACAGATGACATTTTTGTATGTATTTATTGTCAAAGCATTTAATATATTCATTGCTATTGGGATGTTAACCGTTAAGCCCTGAGCCTGTTTTTCAGGTCTCAGGCTCGAAAATGACATTCCTAGAACAAATGACCATATTTTCTCTTCTAAAAGGGTTAAATTAATAATCCTTTTTCTCAAAGCAAGGTTACACATGTGAGTTGGATGTAGAAGTGTCAGAATCAATATAGATGTTTTTATTTTTAAAGTAAATTCAGATTGAAGACAGTAAAAAAATGTAAATTATAGTGTCCGTCAAAAAATAAGAAGTTACTTATAGTGAAAACCACCCTTGAATGATGGGATGGTAGACTAAAAGATTTAGGAATCCAAAGTACAACATATAATAAGTACCCTGTATCAAGATTGATGCAAAACAAGCGAAATTTGATCTTTTTAGAGAGATTTAGCAAAAGAAAACCAGTTCTGGGGTCATTTGGGTGGATTTGACCTATCTCTGGCCCCCCTTGGTCGATTTTGATAATTGACATCTCTTTTTAACCGCTAGAGCCAATGGAATCGAGGGGAACTCCCACATACACACACACGTTACCAAATAATGAGTGAGAGTGACGTGTAGCCAAAACCGGAAGCTGCGATAACTCTGGTGGCTACCATTAGCAGCTAACTTTTATTCTCCGATTTTTACATAAAAATTGAATTATGGATTATAAATCATTTTTTCAAAGACACATTGGATTAACCTATGGATTAACCCTCAGCAGTGTTTTGATCGTTTTAATGCCATTGAACACGACTTTTGATCAGAATAACAGCTAAGGTGAGACGATGTCCCGTTTTTGTTTGCTTCCCTTGTCGCGAGTTCTGATCGCTCAGTGATGATACTATACGAATATAATCTGTGGAGTCTCAGCTTTAATCGGATATATTATATGTGCAGTTACGATAAGTAATAAGGGTATCTTTATCTTGAGTTCTGTGCCAAAGTGCGTTAGCATTTTTCACTCAGGGGTAATTTAGATGCTTCTTATGAGACTTGTGTTTTGTTTTGGTAAAAATGGTTCGTATCGTCAGTTAGCTGAGATTCTTCCCGTTAATCTGGTATAACACATTAATAGGTTTTTAAATATTCAGATGCCCTGAGACACAGTATCGTTAAAAAACACCCCGCAGCCCCCGACTGAGGGGGCTCTCGGGCTTAACAGGTTAAGAGCATTCCATGGAATATAACAAAAAGTGTTTCTGAAATAAATTACATACCCCACCTTTACTGTAAGTAATTTAAAAGACAATCTATTTTTTGTTTTTAACTGACAATACTTAGTAGGGGGACTGTTTAGGGTTCTAATAACTGTTAAGATTTAATATCACTTCCTCCCTTTACAATCAGAAACCATACCAGCAACATCATTTACTTTGAGCAAAGACGTACATTCTTTGCATCTTAATTAGTACTTATTTTTTAACTAGACAGCATACCTTTTTAAATAAAAATGTTGCCTTGTGCAGCTTTAAGTAACTTGGCTGTGGGTGACAAACAACGTGACACTGTATGGAATGTTTTATCAGAAAAAAAACACAATTGCATAAATGCATTTTTACCTGAGTGTCGTCACCAACACCCACATCATCCTCAAACACGACTCCGTGCAGCTTCTCCGTTGCCATGGTATCGCAGAGGCGAGTCAGCAGGTCACGGGGGTTGGTGTCGTTGACCAGCACGGTCACTGGACTGACCACCACGGGCATGTCCACAAAGTTCTCCCCGCTGAGACGACCTCTGACCTCATTCTGGTAGCTGGAGCCGCTGAACACCACCGCCACGTTGATTGACTGCTGGAGGAGGAGGGGCCGGGCCTGCAGGGGGGATGGGGAGGAGATGAGGAGGAGGTAGAGGAGGAGGAGGAAGAGAGGAGGCCAAGGAGAGGGAGGAGGCTGACCCCTGGGAATGGCCATGTTGGCAGCTTACTACCTGGAAAGGAGGGGTAGAATATGGGCGAGAGAGGATGAGAGAACGGAAGGAGAGAGCAAAAGTCAGACACACAAGCTGCTTTACTTCATGATCTTTTTGACATGATTCACGATTATCCGTATGTACATATCTGTCCCTTATTTGTACCTCCTGGCCTCCTCTCTGACCCTTTTTGTATGACACTATTAGCCCTACAAACTGTGTGTGTGTGTGTGTGTGTGTGTGTGTGTGTGTGTGTGTGTGTGTGTGTGTGTGTGTGTGTGTGTGTGTGTGTGTGTGTGTGTGTGTGTGTGTGTGTGTGTGTGTGTTGCAAGTATGCATGCATGTAATCCCCCCTAATCCAGCCCCCAGTGTCATGACTGTAATCATCTCTCCATCTCTACACATTTTGGATTCAGTGCACACACACACACACACACACACACACACACACACACACACACACACACACACACACACACACACACACACACACACACACACACACACACACACACACACACACACACACACACACACACACACCACACACACACACACACACACACACACACACACAGGATGCCAAAACTGCCTCACAGGTCCTCCACCCTCATCACTGGGATTACATTATATTACATTACTTCGGCCTCGCATCAAGTGGGCTGATGTCATCGTTCTGTCCGAAAATACTTTTTAAAAAACCTTAAATTCCTCCTCCTTCTAAACAGAAACCTGTAACAGTCATTTTGGTTTCCATTATGATGTATATTATAGTTTTGCCTTATCATTATTTATGACCTATTGTGTTCATCTCTTTATTGGTGCAGCTGTTAAAGGCAGAGCTAATTTAAATGATGTTACATACTGCTCTGTAGCTGTGAACGTGTCCCAGGGATCAGTGAATCTTAATCTATAATATTACACCATATTTTATCTGTTGATTTATCTGTTAATCTGAAGCTCCAAAGTATTAAAAAGGTTCTATAATGCTAATTTTTACATGCACAAAACCCTATATTACACACTACAGGTAAGGGAAAACCCAAAAAAGGATAATGGGGTACTTTTAGCTTAAGTTATCAAATAAATAGGGGAGTAGCCAACATCCGTGTAAAGTGATGATATGTTTACTGAGATTCGTGAAATCAACAACATTCATAGCTGAAGGATGTCCCAAAAATGTTTTAAATGTCTATGTTGCTGTCTCCTAAAAAATCTGATATTTGGAGTGCGTTCAACACACATCTAACAGAACAAGTATCTTCAACATTTGCATCCAGAGCAAGCCACTTCAATCAAATGTGAGCAGTTTGAAGATCTCTCCTTATAATGAAATATCGTTGAAGGTGTTATAAATGCAGGTGGTCTTTCTTTATAGCAAATAAAGGTCTCCACATATTTTGTGGGGGGTTTTATATTGAGGGTCAGTCTCATATGTGGCCATCAGAGACCACCCTGATAATTAACAACACCTCCCTGCTTTGATTCAAGGCTCCTTTCAAAACAACAGGTTAAACGTGTCCCACCTCTCCTCACTGTTCATGCGCCCGGCATATCAATCATTCATCTTTAAGAAGGCATTCTGCTCCTGGGCTTTAGGTACCTTAAGAAATACACATCTAATTTAAAACCTTCAAAGGCAATTTAATCCTTTTATTAGACGCTTCTGGAATCAAAGTTTAGTCAATAAAGGGTTATACGTGCAACAATGGACATGGAGCTGCCTTTATTAAGGATTACTTCATAAATCTGTGTCGCGTGGATTGAAAAAATTTTATTTTTTTATTTAACCAGATAAAAGCATTGAGATAAAATCTCATTTGCAATGATGACCTGGCCAAGAAGGCAGCAACGTTACACATAACACAAACATATACAATACAGAGAACATAACTAAGAAAACAAAAGACGAAAAAGCAGTCACTACATTGTGCACATTAGGACAGTAAGAAAGGTAAACTACTTATTACTGCAAGAGCAGCTAGTGGTAAGGACCTCAGACAACTTCAACTTAAAACATGCTATTGAAACAAGTGCCGTCAGTTTGAGGCGTGATTGAAGGTCATTCCAAAACCAAGGACCATAATAAAAAAAGACTCCATTTCCCAGCCTCAGTCCGCACAGCAGGAACCTGGAACCGTATCCAGGCACTGGATCTGAGGTTGTAAGAGTCACATACTGGAGCAAATCTGGCACATATGTACAGTGGAAGCTTACCTAAAATGGCTTTATACATTAATAAAAACCAATGCTGCATCCTACGCATAGTAAGTGAGGACCAAGCATCACTAAGCCACCAGGGTGGGTGGAGGGGGTCAGGAGGACGGGACTGAGCTGACCACCCAGGGGCACAGCAGAGGACCAGCAAGGGATCTCGGGCGGACGGCCCGGGGGCAAGACAGAGTCCAAGGTGGGGGTTATGGAGGGGCGAAGGCCACCGCGGGCGAACTCAGGGGGCCGAGCATGAGGGCGAGGACCGCGGCCGGAAAAGTCAGGGGGCGGAGCATGAGGGCGAGGACCGCGACCGGGAAAGTCAGGAGGCCGGTCTTGAGGGCGAAGGCCGCGGCACTCAGGGGGCCGGGCTCGAGGGCGAAGGCCGTGGCCTTCAGGGGGCCGGGCTCGAGGGCGAAGGCTGCGGCTCTCAGGGGGCCGGGCTCGAGGGCGAAGACTGCGGCTCTCAGGGGGCCGGGCTCGCGGGCGAAGACCGTGGCTCTCAGGGGGCCGGGATCGAGGGCGAAGACCGCGACTCTCAGGGGGCCGGACTCGAGGGCGAAGACCAGACAGCTCCAGAGGCCGAGCAGAGCCCGGTGTCGGCCGAACAGGAACCGGTGGGATAGGCCTCGGCAGGATCCCCCACGGAAGAGGACCAGGTGTTGGTAGGACCCCCGGCGAGACAGATGATGGCGGGGCCTCCAACGGAACAGAACAAGGGGTTAGCAGTACCCCCGGCAGGACAGGTGATGGCGGGGCCTCCAACTGGACTGGACATAGAGCTGGCAGGATCCCCAGCGGAACCTCCAAAGGCACGGGACATAGAGTTGGCAGGACCCCCGGTAGAAGAGTAGTCGGCGGGACCTCCAACGGAACAGGACAAGGGATTGGCAGGACCCCCGGCAGAAGAGTAGACGGCGGGACCTCCAACGGAACAGGACAAGGGATTGGCAGGACCCCCGGCAGAAGAGTAGACGGCGGGACCCCCAACGGGACAGGACATAGGGTTGGCAGGACCCCCGGCAGGAGAGTAGTCGGCGGGACCTCCAACGGCACAGGACATAGGGTTGGCAGGACCCCCGGCAGAAGAGTAGTCGGCGGGACCCCCAACGGCACAGGACATGGGATTGGCAGGACCCCCGGCAGGAGAGTAGTCGGCGGGACCCCCAACGGGACAGGACATAGGACTGGCAGGACCCCCGGCAGGAGAGTAGTCGGCGGGACCCCCAACGGGACAGGACATAGGATTGGCAGGACCCCCGGCAGAAGAGTAGTCGGCGGGACCTCCAACGGGACTGGACATGGGGTTGGCAGGACCCCCGGCAGGAGAGTAGTCGGCGGGACCCCCAACGGGACAGGACATGGAGTTGGCAGGACCCCCGGCAGGAGAGTAGTCGGCGGGACCCCCAACGGGACAGGACATAGGGTAGGGACTAGGGAAGGGACTAGAGGGGGGACTAGGGAAGGGACTAGAGGGGGGACTAGGGAGGGAACTAGAGGAGGGACTCGAGAAGAGACTAGAGAAGAGACTAGAGAAGGGACCAGAGATGGGACTAGAGATGGGACTATGGCAGCTGGGGCCAGAGCTGGGTCTGGAACCATGGCCGCTGGGGCCGGAACTGGGGCCGGGACCATGGCTGCTGGGGCCAGAACTGGGTCTGGGACCATGGCTCTTGGGGCTCGGGCTGCTAGGCTGGTCTTGCGACACCTTCTTTTAGGAGCCGTTTGGAGGCTTCGTGGACCTCCAAAAGCCAGACGAGTTCCAGAGAACGGCTCCTGGACAGGAGCAGGACATGGAGAAGAAGCAGGGGTTGACTCCGGACGGAACACACCGAGACGTTTGTAGTCAGCAGGCTGGAAATCACACACCCAGAGGAAGTTCAAAATCCAGTCAGGTAAGAATTTCACCAAGCCTGGTTTCTCCATAGCCAACCGGTGCGCCTCTACCAGAGTGGCCTCCTTCTGCAGAACACTGGACACTCCCTTCCACCAATCATAGCAGCAAGCCAAATAAAATGAAAATGTTTGTAATTCAACCTCAAATGGATCATCTGCTGGGTCCATTTCTTGGTCGGTTCATACTGTTACGGTGTGTGTAGGAAGCAGGACCCAAATGCAGATTAAAATGACTCCTTTATTTCAAGGCTAAACTATTAACAAAGACTGACCAGAACACTCACCACAGACCAAGTCATTACACAAGACGAACCGACAAAGACAGACAGAAAAAACAGAACTTAAATACACATAAGACTAATCATACAAACAAGACACAGGTGAGGAGGGAGGAGAAAACACAGGGACACCAGGTGAACACAATCGGGTAAATTAGACACACCAGGGAAACTAGCGACAGGGAACCGACAGACAGATCTAAACAAGACAAAACACAATGCAGACAGAAAACCAAAGACAGATCTAGACAAGACACAACGCAGACAGAAAACCAAAGACAGATCTTGACAAGACAAAACACAACACAGACAGATCGTGACATACAGTTTGCAATGATGAGTCCTATAGGGTGCATTTGATATATGACCCAGTCTACCCAGTCTACCAGACTGGATAGACTGGGTCAAGTTTGGCCAAAACAGTGGGACAGGCAAATCTATAAATGGTATCACCGTAGTCCAGCTGGGACAGGAATAATTCAGAGACCAACCTTTTACGGGATGAAGTTGAAAAACACCATTTAAGTCTGAAAAGGAAGCCAAGAGTGAATTTCAATTTCTTTGATAGAACTTCAATGTGATGTTTAAAGTTCAGATTACTGTCCAACCAAAAGCCAAGATATTTGTAGGTAT